TTCGTTCCCCCCCCCCCCCCCCCTCAAAGCAGGGACCACCCCTTGGCTCGCCATTCAAAACAATCAAAAAAAAGAAAACAACGGCCATCACCATTGATGGTGGGTAGCCCTTGGTCATTTTACGCATTCCTTGACTAACGGATCCATTGAACGAACAAAGACCCCTTCGTCGAAGGTGGGGACGCAGCAATCGTGATTCAAACCAAGCACAGCATAAAGGTCCACCTGCCCATGCCCTCTCCCGCCCAACCATCAACCCCCGAACGTGCTCCTGTGGCTGAGCCTTTGATCACCCAAGAATCCCCCAGGGCCAGAACTACGCACGGCAGTGTGGCAGAGCCCCAGGCCACACAAGTGACGGCCAACGACAAGCCCATTTACTACATCCCCCACCCAGACGAGTTCATTGCGCGGAGGGCATCGTTCCCTCACACCACCTACGTGATTACCAAGGGGGAAGAAGTAGGGCTTTTCTCGGCATGGTACGTATCCTGTACAACCCACTACCATGCCTCTGACACATTGTACCAGGCACGACGCGGCCATTTGAGTTCAAAACATTCCGGCCCCAAAGGGCTGCATCCAATATATTTTGCAAAGCTTCCCCACCTTTGAAGCAGCCTTCGACGTGTATGCCCATGCCTACAACATGGGTACCCTTGAGCCCATCCCCATTTCTGGGGGCCGCTTCGATGTTCCCATTAATAGGTTTTTTGACGACCAGCCTAATTCAGACGGTGAGTGGGACTCTGATTCTGCACGGGCGGATCAAGACGATTGCGAGGGCTGGGTTTTTGCGGACTCTGACAAAGAAATCCAAGTACGCACTTGGTAGGGACTCGTTCAACAGGCTCAGCTGATCTTGCTCATCAAAAATCATAGATTCAATGATGTGGCCTTGCGGTTGGACCGGCTGTCTTTCTATTGTGCTTGTCCCTGCCTGAATCTACTCCAATGTGACTGCCCCTGTTTGAATTTGCTAGATACCCATCCTCTACTCAATAAATCTTTTTTTGGTGTACTTCATCTGAACTGCCAAGTAATCAGATCCTGCACTACTCCGCCACCGAAAATTGAACATGTTTCAGCCAAGTATCAAGTTATCAACACACTGCCACCACCCCAACTGCTCACCGTGCTAGACTATACCAAGTGCAGAAACCTTTTATTCACTATCGGCTGAGTTTCCAGATTCAAGGCTTTCGCTAGCTCCATCCATGGCAGCCAGTATTGGGGCGAGTTCCTTTGCCGAAACACGCAGCTTCTCGGCATTTCTAAAACCCTTTCAGAACAATTCAAATTTAAATTTGTCTAACTTACTTAGGATCTCGCTGCCACACCCGAAAATTTATTTGGGCCTGGTGGGTCCCTCGGTACTTGGCCGCTGCAGCTCTATGTCTCGCCTTCCTGGCATCTGCTTCTTCTGGTGTCTCATTTTGTCG